TATATATATAATTTGTTTTGTTGTAGTAGATAATAAAGTGCTCAACACTAATACAAAAGTAGAGCAAGATATATTTATATCTTAAAATTAATTATTGCTACTCAAGTTTCACGCCTTATTCAAGACGATCTTCAGGCAATTAATTAATTATTAATTAATTAATTAATTGCCTGAAGATCGTCTTGAATAAGGCGTGAAACTTGAGTAGCAATAATTAATTTTAAGATATAAATATATATATATATATATATATATATATATATATATATATATATATATATATATATATATATATATATATATATATATATATATATATTCTATATATTAGCTTATTGTATAGCTATCAAATTTCGAATTCAAACAAAGCTTATTGTATTGCATTGCATTGCATTGCATTGCATTGTATTGTATTGTATTGAGAGAGGAAGAAAATGAGACTATACATGCATATGCTGAACATCTCAAGGTTCCTCACCGCCTGTTCATTCCGCATGCCAAAATATTTGATTCCTAGACTTTGAGCAGCAAGAGCAATTTCAATCACAGGAATTCCAACAACTCCAAACATATACTCCACTCCTTGTTTCACCAGCGCCTCACACAGAACTTGACATCCTTGGACGGATTCCATCTTGATCTTCTTAATAATATGTCCTTTGATATATAAAAATGTAGTAGCTATTCAATTGCGATGATAATAAACGATGGTTTTATTTTCTCAACAAATGTGAAAATTATTAAGCCGGCGTGTTTAGCCTTTAGCTTTCTATCAGATCTAACAAACATGCATGCTTAATTAATGTTCTGCCTTTCACAAATATTCCTCAAAATTGCGAACATTTGACAAAATAAACTTTCAACATAATCCGTTACTTGGCAATCTCAAATGACAGATAAAATGAATGACAGATAAGTAAGTTTAAAAGGGTTGTGAAAAACCAGAAACTTAAGCCTTAAATGTTCCCGCTCATGCAGAAGCCTGCAGGGATTATCACGAATATGAGCAACGATATACATCATTCTATTGCTTTACATGCCTTATGCCAAAATTTTAAATGGAATGGGTCCTGAGTCACTTACTGACCCTTTTATACTTACAAAAGGGAGAAGACAAACTAAACTAAGTCTTATGGACAATTGAGTTAGTCTTTGTTTACCACAACCACGTATACATGCAATAACATGAAAAAAGGTGCTCATCTGTCATGGAATTCTATTCCAAACCGCAAACGAGTTTAGAGAGATCAAATCCCTTTCATATTTTCAAAGAAAAATTGCTACTCACATTTTTCAATCGTAACAAAATATTAACCCTGTAAACAATCTACAGACTATTCTTAAATTATTTAATAATTATTCGCCGAAGATAAGGTGTTTATCGGGGAATATTCGCCGAGACGAAGTCGAGGTGAATATTCCCCGATAATCACCGAGCCTGAGGCGAATAATTGTTTTAGTATTTTTGCACAAGTTTTTTTGTGTTTTTTTCTGGTCTGAATTAATTTTAATTTCGCTTATTTCTTTATCACTAACTTCAACAAAACGGCTAGCCGCCATTTTGAAAATTTCGATTTTGTTATATTCACCTGTAGGTGAATATAACAGATTAATACGTCAAATTTCACCAATTACCTTGTAGGATTTGTTATGTTCACTTGCGGAAAAATACTAAATTCCTATATTCCTATATTATTATATTCCTACACTACACACCTCGTATTTTGTAACTAAACTTAAATATTGTACTTTTTCGACACTATACTTAATGTTTTGTAAATAACTTTAAATATCCCACTTTTGTAATTATTTTACACGTCCCCTGTGGAAATCAGCTTCGGTTGACGGGGTTAGTGTGGTTAAATAAAGCTCATTCATGCATTCCACTTTTTCCGAGTGATCTGCTCATTGTAGGCTACTATTAGTCTCAACACTCTCAACAGAGAATCTCCCCCTGTGCATTTGCTGGAGAATGCTACCCAAATACCCAAACTCTAATCTAACTCTATTTTTTTTATTTAAAAATTATTATTTGATGTTTACCCCCAAAGCAAATTGCTTATCGGGGGGGGGGGGGGC